AGCTGATGTTTATTTAACCATATATTTTGTGTGTCAGGCCTGTGTCAATTGCTTTATAGAAATCATCTCCTTCCATCCTTGAGATACTTTATGAGGTAAATATCACAGCTATCCCCATTTTACAGCTGAGGACATTGAGTCAGTGGAAGGTAATAAGTATGATGCCCAAGATTGAACAGATACTGACTAATTGGACTGGGATTTGAACCTCGTTTGTCTCACTTCATAGTTCATATTCCTAATTTCCATGTTACTATCCCACTGGGTTCACACTGCCCGATAAACTATTTACTAGTGGATTCAGAGGTCATTTGTGGGGGCTGAATTAATGATAATAATGAAGCTAATATTCATTGAGAACTTACTATGTGCTAAGAATGCTGTTAAGTGCCTCTGTTAGTGGGTATCCTAAGAAACTCATCCTTGGGATCTTCTGCACTTGCATAGTCAAATTAAGTTATTGGAATTCAGTAGGCCTTGAATATAAGAAATACTCATGCAACCTGTTGCTTATGCCAGAGTGTAAACATCTCTGCAAAATTCCATATGTGACAGAAAGCATGTGATTGGTTTTTAGTAGGATATTTCTAGAAAGATCAGGAGGTGACTTGCACTAGGCAGTCCCACCTTGAATGTTTGGCTGTTTGCAATGAGAATAAAGACTCCACCTCACCAACACCAGCCCGAAACGCCCCATGGCTGTCTTTTACCCTACAGGCAAGGTGGGACAGGTGGAACTCAACCAGCTGCTGTTGTTGTTCCTGCTGAGATCCCTGACAGAAATAAGATTCCTGGAGCTGAGAAAAACAAAGCTGGTCCTCCCTACCACCAGCTGCTTCAATCAGCATCTGTGGCACCCTGCTGGGTGGGCAATTGAGCAATGATTCTTTCCTCCCCTTAGGAGTAGGGATACCCTTGTAGTCTACAGTAGGACACTGAGGCTCAGAATTGTGAGGTCATTTGTCCAAGACCACATAGGTAGGAAGTGGCTGAACCAGAACATCCATGCATAGGACCTGGTGCCCTTCAGAAAAGTAGAATGCCCCAGGAGATAATTTGCATTTTTAACAAGTGTCCCTGAAGACTCAGGTGTGCTCCAAAGATTGAGGAGGGTAGGAGAGTGGTGCAGGGGTGGAGCTGAAGCAATTGAAGACCAGAAAGCTTCCTTAACCTGGTTTCTCCGCTTTGGGTCCTGGGGCATGAAGGTGTCAGGCACAATAAGGATACAAAGTAATTGAAGGATATGGCCATTGATCTAAAGTGTATTTCATTAAAAATGTTCAACATCACTAGCAATTAGAAAAATGCAAATTAAAACTACACTGAGATTCCATCTCATTCCAGAAAGAATGGCAGTTATCAAGAATACAAGCAACAATAAATGTTGGCGAGAATGTAGGGGAAAAGGTTCACTCATACATTGCTTATGGGAGACTGCAAATTGGTGCAACCACTATGGAAAACAGTATGAACATTCTTCAGAAAACTTGGAATGGAACCACCATTTGACCCACTTATCCCTCTCCTTGGTCTATACCCAAAGGACTTAACAACAGCATACTATAGGAATATAGCCACATCAATGTTTATAGCAGCTCAATTCACAATAGCTAAGCTATGGAACCAACCTAAGTACCCTTCAATAGATGAATATAAAGAAATGTAGTACATATACACAATGGACTGTTACTCAGCCATAAAAAGAATGGAATCATGGCATTTGCTGGTAAATGGATGGAACTGGAGAATACCATGCTAAGTGAAATAAGGCAATCCTAAAGAACAAAGGGCCAGATGTTCTCTTTGATATGCAATTGCTAACACACAACTGGGGAGGAAGAAATGTAGGTTCACCAGATTGGATGGGGGAAACAGGAGGAAGGGAGGGGGAATGGAAATGGGAAAGACAGTAGAATGAATTGGACATAACTTTCCTATGTTCATATATGAATACAAGACTACTGAAACTCTACATCATGTACAACAACAAGAATGAGAATTTATATTCCATGTATATATGATATGTCAAAATACATTCTACTGTCATGTATAACTAAAAATAACAAATAAAAAAATAAAGTGCATTTTATTTAAAAGTTTTATGGGTTGGCCTGCCACTGTTTTCAATTGAATTCCATCCTGCTATACATTAATATGAGTTTCCTTCTTTTCATAGTTCTGGTAAATAGTTGATAGACTTTATTACTGAAACCCACTGGGGCCATAGATTTTGGGCAGAAGAGGTGTGCTTCAATCAGGGTTTCAGTGGAGAATCAGGAGACATAGATTATGAGAGCTATTGCAGATCCACAGGACAGGGCATCAAAAAGAGCAGCCTGCAACTATTGCACATGGGCTGAAGCTGTAGTCCACAGACACAAGTTCTTCTTCCTCAGAAAAACCTCACCTCTAGTACATGCCTGTAATCCCAGTGGCTCAGGAGGCTGAGACATAAGGATCTTGAGTTCAGAGCCAGCTTTAGCAACTTATCCAGTCCCTAAGCAACTCAGTGAGACCTTGTCTCTAAAATAATATACAAAAAAGGGCTGGGAATGTGGCTCAGTGGTTAAGCACTCCTGATTTCAATCACCAGTATCAAAACCAAAACAAAAAAAAACAAAAAACAAAAAAACAGCCTTATCTTTGCTCTTAAATCCTTCCAGCTTAATGGTTGAGGCCTACACAGATGCTTTAGGACAATGTTCTCACTTTGGTCAACATCAATTGACACTAACAGAGTCAATTGATGCTTGACTTTAATCACATCTACCCCCAAACCTTCTTGGCAACACTTAGATTAAGACTTGATTGAATAACTAGGGTCTGAATACTTTTTCTTTTTCTTTTTTTTTGGTACTGGGAATTTAACTCAGGGGCACTGTACCACTGAGCTATATCTGTAGCCATTTCTATTTTTTATTTTGAGACAGGGTATCACTAAGTTGCCCAGGCTGGGCTGGTGCTTGTGATCCTCCTGAGTTGCTCGGGTTACAGGTGTGCACCACCACACCTAACCTAGCCTCGAAAGTGTTTTGACTCACACTTCTGACCTGACATAGGTGTTTTCCTCCACCCACAACTGATTTCTCCAATTCTCCAGACACCAACTGGGTGTTCTCCAATTCAGTTCTAATACCAGCTAGTCAGAGGTAGCACTGAACCTGTAGGAATGCCTCTACTTCAAATGTCAGTTGCAAGTCCCTGGTTGTCACCTGTACTTCTGACAAACTAGTTCCCAAACTACCTTCTCAGGTTCAAGAATATAGAATAATGGCTTACAGAACTCAGGAAAACAGTTTACTTATTTTCACTGTTTCTTATAAATGATATAATTCAGGAATGGCCAAAAGAAAGGGATGCACAAGGCAAGGTATAGGGAAGGGGTGCAGAGCTTCCAGGCCCTTTCTGGGCATGCTATAGTTTGGATCTTGAGTGTCCTCCCAAGGCCCACATGCTGGAAGCTTAGTACCCAGCGTGGCACTATTGAGAGGCGGTAGACTCTCTAGAAGGTGGGACCTATTTGGAGGTCTTTGGGTAATTGGGGTTTCCCTTGAAAGGGACTGGGGGACCCTGGACTCCTCTTTTCTCTTTTTCACTTCCCAGCCATGAGGTGAGCAGCTGTGCTCCACCACACATTTCCATCCCAATGTGCTTCCTCACCACAGGCCCAAAGCAATGGAGGTGCTTTTACATGACTATGTTCTCTTTGGGAGAGGCCATTGATCTGGACAGTTATATATGATTTCTTCAGTGTGTGTTGTGCTTCAGTAGAAAGTTACAAAAGTATAAGAGTTTCCACCAAACTCTGAGGTTTTGGGGTTTTCTTTTTCTTTCATAATCTGAAGTGTGAAAAAGAATTGGAGGGTGACTTTCTTTTCTTTGATATTGAATATTTTTTTTATATTGCTGATGATGTTCAAACCTATCTATCTGCTGGGATACACAGGTGAGGTTTTCAATAGGCAGTGCCAAGAACAGATCTGACTGGTGCACAGTGCTGACTCTGTCTGCTACCACATGCCCACTGGCTATCCACTTAAGACCCCAGAATGGTAGAGACAGTTCCAGCCCTGCCCCTCCTTACCCTGCACTATGGGTATGGTCTGAGTCTCTCCCAATTCTGACTTCTGGCTTCCAGCAGGCTGCTGCCTCCTGACCTTGCAAGCAGCTACTTGCCCAGTTCAAGAAATGCTTGCCCACTGGGGTCCTGAACATAAAGAGCAGAGGAATTGTTTTCCTTTTTTTCTACAGGATATGGGCTGCACAGGCATTTGAGGTTACAGGGACTCATTTTGAGGAATATTTGAAAGTATATGGGATTTGTGGACATTAGTTCAGAACAGCCAGGAAGACCATTTTGGTGATGTGTGGACAGTGCAAAGTATGTGGTTAACACACAGAGGCTCAATAACAAAAGCCATTTGTGATGTGCATGCTTGACTGGCCAAGTGTGCCCACAGTTGGCCATTTTCTGAGGCTTGTGGAGCTGAAGTGAGCAGAGGGCCCTCCTTGGCCATGTTCCATGGGATGGCTGGGAAAGGCACAACATGTTACCACAAGACAAGGCTCATAGACCAGCAGTCACCAGACTTTGCTTGTGGCTAGATCTGGGCACAGAATGGAGATGATGTCACTAGACCTTCAGGTTATTTCATCCAATTAACTGAGAGTTAATTAGTATTTCCAAAGTGCTTTGAAGATGAGGAACATTGGTTATTCACAGTTGGGGTGGTAGTGGCAAGGTAGAGATGCAAGGAGCACTGGTATTAGAATGAGAAGACAGAGGCAGGAGGCAATGCCTCTGACTTTTGAGACTGTTAGCAGACATGTGTGAAAGAATTTATTTAGTTTGCTTGGGCTTCTGGAACAAAGTACCACAATCTGGGTGTCTTAAAACAATAGAAATGGATTCTGCCCTAGTTCTGGAGGCCAGAAATCTGAAATCAAGGTGTTGGGACAGCCATGCACCTTTTAAAGCCTCTGGGTATGAACCTTCTTACCTCTTCCAGCTGCTGGTAGCCCCAGGTATTCCTTGGCTTGTGGCCACATTGCTCCAATCTTTGCTTCCATCTGTGTCTCCATTTCCTCTTCTTATGAGAACACCATAATATTGGATTAGGGCCAATCTTGATTATATCTTCAAAGACCCTATTTCCCAATACAGTCACATTTATTGGTACAAGGGGTTAGAACCTCAACAGATTTTTTTTGGGGGGGACCAAAGTAATGCATAAGAGTGCACATATGATCTCCAGTGGCCAATGAATATGTCATTCCTGGGAGATTCCCTTCCTTAATCCTTCTTTCCTCACCTGAACAGCCTGCAGTGTCCTTTGGGCCTTAGGTCTTGCCCCTGCCTCTTTTCACAGTGCCTAGCCTCTGCAGAGATTCATGTTTGAAGCCCCTTTGCTTGGGCAATGAATATATGACCTGGGGCTGGGAGGCCTTAGCTTAGCCTCTGAGCTACCCCCAAATGCTAACTGCAGCCCCAAACAGGGTACTGAATTCTGCCTTTACTGGAACCTGAGGCTTAGACCCAATGTCAGAGGTTCCAATCCTGATCCTGGAGGCAGTACTGGCACAAGCACTTGCTTACCTGGGCCACTGGATTCTCAGGTGGAGCCACTCATACTTCTCAGCATTATCCTATTGGTGAACTCTCTACAGGTTTTGCAATATTAGTTAGTGCCAAGATATTCCAGTGGATGGTCTTTGATAGAAAAGGCTGAAGGGATCTAAAACATTTTTCTTGAGGTCCTTGGCCTGTTGGAAGCCAAACTGGGCTCCCGTGTGATAGGTCAGGGCATTGGGTAGGCAGCCCTTCAGCACTTTACCCAAGGGCTTGCCTCTCTATGCTAGCTTGATGGATGCCCCACCCTGGATTTGTGGCAATTGAACTTGTTAGAACTTGTCTGTTCTTTGACCTCTCTTCTAGCTGGAGCCTAGCCTCATAATCAGGCCCCAGTATCTTCCATGCCTCAGCAGTCTGTTCAGAACCTCCTCTGTCTCCACATAGTGACTGGGCTTCAGACTCAATTCTATCTAGCTCCACTATCAGAGCTGGTTCTGAACTTGTGCTGAACTTCAGATAGAACCTGATGCTTGACTAACTTTGCCAGGCAAAAGGTAAGAGGGTCAGTATGTTCCTATCCCACTGCCCCACCAGACAAAGGAGCCCTTTTCAAGAGCTAGTCAAATAATGGCCCCTGAAAGATATCCATGTCCTAACTCCCAGAAGCTGTTACTGTTCCCTTATATGACAAAAAGGACTTTGCAGATGTGATTAAGTTAAGGATCTTGAAATGAGAAGATTATCCTGTCATCTGGGTGGCTCTGAGTATAATCACATGTGTCCTCATAAGGGAGTCAGAGGGAATTATACTTCAGAAGGAAATGTGGCTGTGGAAGCAGAGATTGGAGTGATGAGCTTTGAAGATGGAGGAAGGAACCATAAGCCAAGGAAAACAGGTGGCCATGAGAAGCTCAAAAAATCAAAAAAATTGATTCACCTCTCAGGGACTCTAGAAGTAACTATCCCTGATGACACATTGACTTTAGCCCAGTGAAACTGATTTTGAACTTATAACTCCAAGAACTATAAGAGCCAAGGGTAAAGGATAATCTTGAGAGATAAGAAGGCTGTCAGGGCAAAGATGTTGGGTTGGGGGGCACCAAACCAAGGAGGTCTTGTCTGTCCATCAGCAATATTTGGGAATGAGCTGGCTAACTGAGGAGGGGCCTTCCTCCCTACAACCCTGCTTGTATCATTTTGTTCAGCATTCATCTTTGTCCTTTCCTCCAGGCCTCTCCCATTAAAACCACTCGACAAACCTGGAATGTTCATGGCATACCTTGCATTGTCTGCACTGGGACCTGAAGGGGCCTCCAAAAGGTCTAAAGAAATCTGCCCTTGAGAAAACCACCATCAAAGAAGAAAATGGAGGAAAGGAAGAAAGAAGCACATAAGTTTTATGAGCAGGACATGATATGTCTCAGGTACAACTCAATGGCCCATTGGGGTGGTGCCACCTCATGTTCCAGCCTATGGCTCCTCAGCACAGTTGCAATCCATTGTTATTCCTTCCCTTGCTAGATAAGGAACTTCCTGAAAACTCTTGTCTAGATTATTCAACATTTTGCCCTCAGTCCTCAGCACAAGGCTAGTTAAAAGTTGGTGCTCAGTATGAACTAACTGTCAGCCTTCAGGAGCAACCCTTTGTTCACTATCTAGACATCTATTCCTCATCTTTAGCTTCCTCAACTTCTCTCTGCCACCTGACACTGCTGATCACCTTCTTCTTATTGACCCTGTACTCCATAGCTTTCCTTCACACCCCAGTTTTTGGTTTACCTCTTAATTCTTTTTTATTAACTCTTTTATTCTAAAGGTCCTATCTTTTATCCTACACACCTATGGCTTCAAGTAGCAGCAATTGGCCAAGACCTTTCAACCATCTCCTGATATCTAGACACTTCCTTCTGAAAACCCAAGGTTCCTCAAACTCATCATGACCAGAATGGAATTCAACCTTTTTCTTGCTGCTGCCTAAATCTTGCCCTTTTCTAGGGTCTTAGCACCAGCAAAAGGCATCACTAGCCACAGATTCCTCTAAGCGTGAATTTCTTACTTATCCTTAGCTCCTCTTTCTTCCTTAGCCGCATTTCCAATTAATTATCCAGAACCATCTCTTGACTATATATTTTCTTTACCCCCATTAGCAGTTCCCCAGGACAGATACACTTTATCATCTCTTCTCTAGATTAAGGAAATTGATCCCTACTGGTTCCCTGTCTATGGTCCCTCTTCTTGCATTTTGCCTAGCAAGCAAAACACAAATTTTACCACACCACTCTTCAGGGGATACTCAAGTCCAAGCTCCTTGACAGGCAGCCTCATCTCCTACCATGTCTGGCCACAGCCTTGTGGTGATTCCCTTAGCCTGGAAGCTGAAATGCCATCCCTCTTTTTCTTAAGCTAGCAGAATTGATCCCACTGTTTCAGGTCTGGCTCAGGAGGTCACTTTATCTCTGACACCTTTCCTGTTGTGATCCCTCTTTCCTCTGTGCACTCACAGGCCTTTATTAATCATTATTTGAGAAAATTTTTTAAGTTCAGTAAAACACATGTAACATAAGTTACCATCCTAGCTATTTTTAAATGTACAATTCAGGGCTGGGGATATAGCTTGGTGGTGGAGTGATTGTCTAGCATGTGCAAGGCCCTGGGTTCCACCCTAGCACCACAAAAATTGTACAATTCATGACATTCACATTGTTGTACAACCATCATCCACCATGCATCCACAAAAGGTTTTCATCTTCACACAATTGAAACTCCATCCCCATTAAAAACTAACTCCTCCCTCCAGCTTCTGGCATAGACATTCTACCCACTGTCTCTATAGATTTGACTACTCTAGGTCCCTCATAGAAGTGGGATCATATAGGATTTGTCAGTATCATCCATGATGTAACATGTCTCAAAACCTTCTTCCCTTTTAAGTCTAGATAATATTCCACTGTATATATAAACCATTTTTGCTTTATTGTGAGTAATGCTGCTAAGAACACTGGTATACAAATATCTCCTTAAGAGCTTGCTTTCAATTCATTTGGGTATGTACTCAGGAGTGGAATTGCTGGATCACATCACAATTCTAAGTCTAATTTTTGGGAGGCCACACTATTTTCCATAGCAGCTACCCCATTTTACATTCTCATCAGCAGTACACAAAGGTTCCACATTCTCAGTGTGTGAGCTGATGTTTATTTTCACTTCCTTAATGACTCATGATGTTGAGCACCTTTCCAGTCTATAGTCATTCTTAAGTGGGAGTTGGCAAAATGTTTCTGTGAAAGGTAAGACAGTAAATATTTTAGGCTTTGTGGGCCAGATTAAATTCTGCCATTGTAGCAAAAAGGCAGCCAGAACTAGTACATAAAGTGAATGCATGCGGCTGTGTACTAAGAAAATTCTATAAAAGCAGAGGCAAGCAATATTTGAGTCCAGGCTCATAGATTGTTCATCCCAGCTCTTAAAGCAAGGAACATGTAGGTTATTAATGTTGGCATTTTATTTCTTCTGTGGGATTATGAAGTCTCTGAGGGCATGGGCTCTATCTTGTTCACTTCTGTAACCCTTTGAATATAACAGATGCTCAGTTTATATATATTTATCTATGTGTATATAAATTATACATATATGTACATACATGTATATACTGAGGTGTATGAGCTGATTACATATATATATAGGGCACTTGTTATATTCAATAAATATATATTTATATATAAATGTATATATAAACTGGCAACTGTATATTCAATATATATGTGTATATATATATGTGTGTGTGTGTGTGTGTGTGTATATATATATATGTGTATATATATATGTGTGTGTGTGTGTGTGTGTGTGTATATATCAATAGAGAGTAACTTATATGAGACTTGTTCTCCCACTGAAAGCAACCAGTATATATATATATATATATATATATATATGCACCAGGGATTAAACCCAGGGGTATTAAACCACTGAGCTACAACCTCAGCCTTTTTTATTTTGAAACAGGGTCTTGCTAAGTTGCTGAGGCTGGATTTGAACTTGTGATCCTCCTGCCTCAGCCTCCTGAGTTGATGGGATTATAGGTATGCACCAACGTGCCTGGTTCAGGTAATATTTTTTTTAATTGATGTTACCTACTTCTCTCCATGGAGAAGAAAGCCAGTGGTGTGTCTGTCTTCTAGTACCTGCTACAGAAATCATTTCATTTCAAAAAAGTTGCTGGGAAACAGGCTGCCATTGCCCTCTTCTCTCCATTTTGCCTCTATCCAGGACACTCTAGAACATTGTCTGGCAAATTCTCAGAGCCAAAGGAGCTGATATGAAAAACCATCGTGGGGCTGAGTGGGTAGGAGATAGATCTAGCAAGGGTAAAACTCCAATTTGGGTCTCCCATCATTTGAAACCTTCCATTGGAACCTTCTACAACCTTAGGTGTAGCTAAGTAGTGCTGATCAAAAGAAGTGCATACTGGAATGGAAAATGTTAGTGTCTTCCACTATGCCTCTTTTCTTTCACAGTTCTTAACCACCTATTTGTGCTTATTGTTCCCATCACGTTAAAGCACCCCAGATTGGAATCTGGATCTGACTGCCTTCTTTTCCACAAAGGCACCTTTACTGCATTAGGCTATCTGAACCTGAATGGGCTCCCCCAGCTGGCCAATGTGGGAGTTGGTGGTTTTCTCTAAATGCTCTTCCAGTCTCAGCATACTTACTGGACCCCATCCCTGGAGCAGGTAATGAATTCAAAGGTCCTAGCTGTTGAGGAGCATGGAGGATTTTAGGATATACAGGTAGCAAGGCTGATGGCAATGTATGATTGCAGAAGTGCTTTGATGGAGATGCAGAAAGCCAGGAGAGACACCTGTGGGGAAGGGTTTGGGAGAACTGCAAGGAGCTAATGATGCTGGAGATGGAGTTTGAAAGGGTGGCCAGATGCCCCAGTGAGGGTTATCTCTCACAGCAAGCCAAGAATCTTTGAGGAGCAGGAAGCCTAGAGTCCCTTGTTGGTGGATAGAAATGTACACCAAAGCTGGAGGGCTGTGGACCACTATTGGCCTTCACCATTTCTGTCTTGTGTGCTGAACTCTCTTTGTGGGTTCCAATCCTTCCCCACAGTGGAACAGGTAGTTCAGGAACACACACAAACAGTGAAGCCCATGCTACCTCTTGGCTTCTCTCTCTTAGACCCTCTCTCCAAAATAGGCTTCCCATAGCTGCTAGTTCCCATCCCACTGGTTCCTATTTTCTATTAGGCTAGTCTTCTTTGAAAGCTATATGTTATCTCCCACTCAAAGGTGGTGTCCAATTTATGGATTTCACAGAGCTCCCAAATCCATGCATAAATGATGGGTCTGAGATTTGTGCTCCAACTGAGTCTGGCTGACTATTGCCTTCCCCATTCCTTGGGCTGTTTCCTCTTGTGACTACAGCTGTTACTCTAGGATTCCAAGCCAGAGAGATGATTATCTGCATTTCCTGAGTACCCACTGTGTTGTGGGGGCACTGGTTGGTTCTTCCCTCAGGAGTCCTGGCCTAGTACAGCTGGGAGGAAGCATAAACAGGGAACACACAAAATAAGGGAAAGTTCAAGAGCCACAGGCTAGGAATCCAGAGAGAAGAGACAGATTAGGCTATGCTTTTGGGGGAAAGGGGACTGGCCATTCTGGACCTGGGCAAAGGGAGAAGACATTGCTAATAGTCAGGACAATCTGAGTAAAGGTATATATGGCAGGGCATGAGCAGGAAACAGGCTCAGTTTGGGTAAAACACAGTAGATATGAAGCCCAGTGGAAGCTGGGAAGGTGGGGTGGGAGAAGCAGAATGTAGGTCTGTTTTAGGTTGGATGTTCTGGATGTGCATAGAGGCTGGATCAGAGTAAGGATCAGGGAGGAGGCCCTGTGGGTCGTTGCATTATGCCTGACCTAGGGACCAGATGCTGAACTAGGTCAGTGTCAGTGGGGAAGGAAGATGGACTGAAACAGATCACCCCAGTGGAAATGCAGAAGTTGATAATGGGATTTTACCTGTTCCTAACTGGGGAAGCACTGCCTTCTTTTGGCTCTGATTGTCCAGATAGGAAGTGCCACATGGGAGAAGTCCAGGTGTGGATAAAACTCTAGAGGCCATTTTAGGCCATTGGTCATCAGAGTAGAACAGATGGGGGTGGCCTCTATGATCTATATCTGTGAGCATGGCAAATTCTGTTTTGAAGTGGCTGAGGTGAGACTATAGCTGGGCTCAGTGACCTGGGAGAAGCTACTTCAGTGGTCTCAAATCATTCACAGGTTTATGGGCACACAGTGCCAGACCCGCCTCCAAGTCTTAGTTCAAGTAGGTCTGGAATGGGGCTTGATAGTTTCTATTTCTAAAGAGTTCCCTGTTTGTGGACTAAAGTTGAGGTTTCCTGGTAGTTGGACTTTTTCCAAATGGGTTGTGCGGGTGAGTTGGCCTGAGTGAGGACTGTGAAGAAATAATCCCTGGGTAAACAGGGTGTTGGCTTGGCCAGCTGGGAGTTCAGGGTCTGTCTGAAGGGCTCCCCCAACCTCTCCCTAATTAACCTGCCTTCATCTTTTAGATTTGAGTGGACACTGCTCCCATGTATATTCTGTCCCAATTTCTACCCGGGGCCAGGTTCACTTGTACCCCCATAACCTGTGCAAGGCATGCTTAACTTTTCCTCTTTGGAAGTTGGAACATCTTTCAGTTATGTATTGGTTTGTGTGCATTTAAACCACAGGCTGTGTCTGCTTTACTTAGTGAAGCTTAGGGCAGCATCCAATGAATATATGTGGATGGAACAAGTAAAACAATGCTGTAATTTGGATTTGAAATGTCCACCAAAGGCCAAAGTGCTGAATGTTCAGTCCCCAACGTGGTGCTATTGGGAGGTGCTGGAACCTAGTGGAAGGAAGTTAGGTCATTGGGATTGCTCCCTGGAAGGGAATATTGGGAGCCCAGGCCTTCCTTTCCCTCTGCTTATAGTTGCAATGAAATGAACAGCTTGACTCCCCCACACAGTCCTGTCATGATGTTCTCCCTTGCCAAAGCCCAAAAGCAATGGAACCAACCATATACTGGAACCTCTGGAACTGTGAGCCCATCCTTATAAGTTGTTTATCTTAGGTATTTTACCACAGTGATGGGAAACTGACAGTAGTAAGACAGGAATGGTTTGGGCAATCCAGAGTTTGACAAAGGACATTTTTGGCTCACACAATTATAAGCATTTTTCTAAGGAAGCTGTGTGGACAAAGACTAAGGATACCTGGTCCTCAGTGCCTACCAGCAAGTTCTGTGAGCCTCTCATCTAGCTGGGACTCTCCCCCACTAGTTCTAAGATTGACTCCAAAGCTCTGTCCTAGTCTAAACTCATTCTTACTTCTCTATTTAGCCTGGTTCTCCTCACACTTGCTCCCTGGCCCCCACCCCAAACCAGCCTACTTGTTTCTTTCACTGAATCGAAGACACCATTATTTTATGCACTGCTAAGAAAGTCACGCTGCTAATTAAACTAGGTCAAGCTGCTGACTGTGACACTGTTATCCTGAAAAGCCAGAGACTTTTACCTACTGAATGTTTACCTTTCTAGATGCAACTAAATGCATTACTTGCCCTGCAGAAGCCATGCCACCTCCCTCTGAGCCTATACCACTTCATCTGAAGTTTGTCTCTAATTTCATGCCTGTTATTACAGTGGCTTATGAACTCAGCTTTGCTATTCTAAATGTCTCAGGGACAAAGATGGTGTCTTATTTATGTTTATATCCCACTGCCCCACCCTCCCAGCATGGTTTCTCCTCAGGCAGAGGTAATACCCCAATAACACAAACTGCAGGGCTTGTACACTTTCACTTTATTGTAGTTTCCCATGTACCCCCTGCCCTTTAACAAAGGGAAAACTTTAAATTACATTTCAATTAGGTGGAGAAGAAACTATATTCTACAAACAGAAAATCATCAGAAGATAGAAAAGCCTAGATTATTATATGTGCTATGCCCTTTTGAAGTTGCCTGATGGATTTTGTGAGTGTGATGTGCAGGGATGTCTCTGCATCATCTCATGATTTTCTGCCCAAACTCAAAAAAGATTAAGGAGGCTCCCTTTTCTTTGGTTTACCATCAACCAGCCTGATGTCCCATGTTAGATAAGAGCTAAATGGCTAATATGGCATGTCACTGAGCCAGATCACCACTGTCACTATAAATGACAAGACTCTGCTGATAAAAGGAAATGTTTTATGAAACAACATTGCAGGTGGGCACTGGAAGAGTCCCTGAGAGACAACATGGACGACCAGCTGAGTCTTCAAAAATGGCAGGGATCGTAGTAATTTATGCCCTCGTGTTTTTTTACTCCAAATTGTGTTGATATGAAATGTACATCTGAAGTCTCATTCATGTGTTTACAACTTCTGCTTTTCTTCTAGGATATTGTCAAAGCCATGGTTCCTTGAACAGACTCTAGTGGCTTCCACTCTAGTACTGGTTTGCATGATAAATATTCTGGTCTCCCATTCTCAATCAGCAAATGGATTGTTTCTTTCAGGTACCTTGATTATGTACTAGAA